GGCATAATTCTGTCAAAATGCTTGATACAGTTACCTCCTCCTGTCTACAGGTTGGGGTCATGATGGTAAACAAGTGTGCCAAGTTTCAAAGCCATATGTCAATGGACTTTGAAAATATTTGAACTATTACAAAAACTTTAACATAAGTGGTTACGCCGACGCGGACACCAACGCCGACGCCGACGCTCGGGTGACTACAATAGCTCTACTTATTCTTATCGAATAGTCGAGCTAAAAATCCGTGACGACTCAGCAGCCAGAAGAACTATCGTATACAATATATATTGAGCAGGATATTTAACCAGGAGAGCCAGTACAGACCAACACATCGGTAAGTGGACCAGAATGGCTAGATATTGGGCAGCTTAAATTTAAGGACGAAGAAAAAAGTATCCTGTATTCACCAACAGAGTGGTTAAATGATCAGTTGATTGATGCGGCGATGTCTCTTCTAAAGTCACAGTTCCCACATATATGGGGGCTGGACAGTTGCCTCAATGCAGCAACTCTAACATTTACTCGTGCTTTTGGAAATTTCATTCAGATCGTCAACAGAACGCCAGAACAGGGTGGGACACATTGGCTGACATTATCCACTATGAAAACAAATAACAAGTCGGAAGTAAAAATTTTATGATTCAGGTTTCACATCACTAAGTTTTTCTACCAAGCAAGTTATTTGCAACAAGCAAATTCGTTGAATCTATATCCCCCGCCGAGTACTGGTTATTATTAACACAACAACTGAAGACATAAGGCTTTATTTATATATTAATCATGGCATAAACAGTAATATTCTTTGAACTTGATAAATATTCAGGGAAATAACAGAGCCATAACTTTGTGTTAAATAGTAAAATCTGGAAATGCCCATGAGATGTATGCATACTACATAACTAATCAAGGGCCATAAATCTGAGTTATAAGTATCTGACTGGAACAAGGCGACTATATGCACATCTCCTCTTAGTATCCCATAAAGTTTCATTGAATTCCAGCCGGTGGTAGCAGAGAAGTAGCGAGGAAACAAATATTTTTCTATATGGATACTGCATAACTTATCAAGGGCCATAACTCTTAGTTAAAGTGTCTGACCGGAACAAGCCGATGATATGCGCATCTCCTCTTGGTATTGAAGGTTCCCATAAAGTTTTGTTGAATTCCAGCCAGTAGTTGCAGAGAAATAGCGCAGAAACAGTTATTGCTCTATATGCATACAACATAACTAATCAAGGGCCATAACTCTGTCTTGAAGGGTCTCATTGGAAGAAGTCGACGATATGCACATCTCATGGTATTGATATTTCCCATAAAGTTTTGTTGAATTCCAGCCAGAAGTTGCAGAGAACTACTCCGGAAATGATTTTTACTCCATATGCATATTGCATAACTAATCAAGGGCCATAACTCTGAGTTAAAGTGTCTGACCCGAACAAGCCAACGACATGCGCATCTCCTCTTGGTATTGAAGGTTCCCATAAAGTTTCGTTGAATTCCAGCCAGTAGTTGCAGAGAAGTAGCGCGGAAACGATTTTTACTCCATATGCATACTGCATAACTTATCAAGGGCCATAACTCTGAGTTAAAGTGTCTGACCGGAACAAGCCGATGATATGCGCATCTCCTCTTGGTATTGATGATTCCCATAAAGTTTCGTTGAATTCCAGCCAGTAGTTGCAGAGAAGTAGCGCGGAAACGATTTTTACTCTATATGCATACTACATAACTAATCAAGGGCAATAACTCTGAGTTTAAGTGTCTGACCGGAACAAGCCGACGATATGCGCATCTCCTCTTGATATTGATGATTCCCATAAAGTTTCGTTGTATTCCAGCTGTAGTTGCAGAGAACTACTCCGGAAACGAAATTCGTACGGACGGATGGACGAACGGACGGTCAGATGCGCATCTCCTCTTGATATTGATGATTCCCATAAAGTTTCGTTGAATTCCAGCCAGTATTTGCAGAGAACTACTCCGGAAACGAAATTCGGACGGACGGATGGACGGACGGACGGACAACGCCAAAACTATATCCCCCTCCCAATTCCATCGGCGGGGGATAATTAACTTAGAAAAGATACCCCACCAAAAAAGAATGATAAAATATTGTTGAATTTTATGGACTGTGCATTCCAGGAAAACGGCAATGACTGTGGTCTCTCTGCAATTGCAAACGCAACTGCGGAAGCTAACGGTATAGATCCCTGCACCTAAAGGTATGACATAGAACTGCTTCTTGGTCACCTGATACAATGTTTGGAAAAGGGTAAGCTTGTACCATTTCCCGCTGGCACCCAGTCGCTCAAGCACCCGAATGGTATCAGATACACTGCATTTCTTAAGGTGTTTTGTTTGTGCCGAATGTCAGAAGACGGTTTGTATGTTGTTTGCAATAAATGCAAAATATGGTACCATCCTGAATGTGAGGGTCTACAAAAGGTGACATTAGTGGTGATGACATTCTGTATTTCTGTACAAAATGTACACACCCCCAAAAGAGAAACATACGACGAAAAAAACGCATGAAGTGTACACAATGTATAATATGTACTTTAAAACTTTGGTTTAAATTTGAAATGTTGATAATAAATTTAATAATGTTAGTTATTGTCACTTGTTTTACTCATTTCCCTTAATTAATCACATGTCATAATGTTATGTTTTCATAAAATGAAGAAGAAAAAAGAAAAGAAAGAATGATTATTTATCAAAAGGATTAGTTGCATTGTCACGGGTTTTAGCTGCCCTTCATGACAGACACATAAAGGCGAATATAGTTCGTCACGGTATTTAGTGCCTTGCATTATATATCACGGTAAATTTTGTGTGTCTCAGATTTTAGGTTCATGTCACGGATTGATGTCGTCAAGGAATTAGATATTGTCACGAGTTTTAGGTGATCCCGATCATTATATAGTATAATTTATACATGTACCAGTATACAGAGCTCCAGATAATTTTTTTGGCCAAGGGGTTTTTACCCCTCAAAATTTAGAGTGAGGGGTAAAATGCAAATTCTGAAAATCTTAAGGGGTAAAATCTGTCAAAAAAGCATTTTACAAAACATGCCATGTAAAGTCAGACTTCCAGGGTATACTGGAACTCAAGTTTAGGATACACAGCAAAATTATCAGGGCTTCCATTTTAAAAATTTGGAAGTCAGACTTCAAAATCTCTGATATTGGAAGTCACATTATAGGTAAAGAAGGAAAAGTATTGATTTTCGGAAGTCACAGGCCAAAATGAAGGAGTAAATGACTCCCAAACTTCCACTAGATGAAGCCCTGAATTGTTTTTATTTTCTAGGAGTCAATATTTTTCTTTCTTTATTTCTGTTGGCATGTACCTTATCATGTACTCCAGTTTGAACAATTATAGTTGAAATTAGAATTAAAGAAACATAAACAAGATTTTTTTATCTTTCCATAAAAAAAGTATTGGTCTGAGAGAAAATTGTCCGTAACTGTAGACTGGGTACAAAAATATTGAGTACAAAACTGCAGGTGAAAAACATGTTATTTTGTTCCAACAACAAAAGTTGAAGAAATTAAAATATATTTTTGTTTATATTGAGGCATAATTAAGCATGTCAATAGATGCCTAAACAAACTTAATACTATGTTAACTCCTACGATGATTATCGGGCACAAATTTCATCAATAATTTCACAAGTTGTTCTGTATTTCCTGCTACTTTCGTTTTTAACATGCGTTGTTGACAACAGAATTTTTAGTTTTCAATGCAATAAAATGGAAATATATTGTATTTTTATGCTCAAAACATTTTCTTTCTACATATCAAATGTTTACACTTCTATTCTTTCACGCATAAATTTTGACATACGAGCGTATTTTCATTTTGTTGTGCGTAACTGTGACGCACGAATTTTGAAAGTGATGCGTATTTTAGATTTTCTATGCGTATTTTACGCTTATACGCACGCTATCTGGAGGTATGGGTCTAATTCTGAGATTGCCATACTTTCTTTCACTCTTGTATTTGTATTTTTTAAAGCGGTACCACTAAAATACGCAACGGAGATTTTTTGGCGCAACGGACGCAGCGGAGATATTTTTTTTAGAAAAACCGACACAACGCCTTTTTTTAAAGTCAATGTGCTATATTTAAGCATCTAAAATGATTGTTTAGCACTAATAAGTAAGTATGTTTAAAATGTTTCATAAATTTTTCAGTAATTCAGTTAATATCTTTAATGATTTACTTCTTCATATTACTACTTAATTCGGACAAACATTGAATCCGTTGAGCCAAAAAAAAAATCTCCGTTGCGCAGACAAAATGTCCATTTCGCCGGCACACAATCCTTTACAACATCAACATTGCAGCTCTTTGATTATTTGATATACGATTAAGGTTTTTAAATCTTTTTTTTTTAAATTTGTTTATTCAAATAACATTGGTGTTAGTTAATTTCATATAATAGTACAATAGTACAAACGTTGTGCCGATTTTCCCAAACTATCTCCGTTGCGCCATGAAATTTCCATTACGCCAGGCATATTATAATCCTTCAGTGTATACATATACAATTTATGAAACATTTGAAATCATACTTACTTCATAGTGCTAAACAATCATTTTAGATGCTCAAATACAGCATATTGACTTAAAAAAAGGCGTTGTGTCGGTTTTTCTGAACAAAATATCTCCGTTGCGCCATGAAATTTCCATTTCCCATGAAATTTCCATTTCGCCAGGCATATGACCCTTCAGTGCAATTAAACATATACAATTTATGAAATATTTTAAAACTTACTAACTAAATAGCTATAAACAATCATTTTGGATGCTTAAATATAGCACATTGACTTTAAGAAACAGGCGTTGTGCCGGTTTTTCTAAAAAAAATATCTCCGTTGCGCCCGTTGCGTCCGTTGCGCCAAAAAATCTCCGTTGCGTATTTTAGTGGTACCCTTTTTAAAGTGAAGTGTATGCTTTGTTTTGTATTGTTATATTCTGACGATGAACTGGTCTACCTTTTTATTTTTCTTCTTTCTTTCACCCGCATACTGAATTCTTGGGTTTGGTAAAACGCCTTCTTTTGGCTGAATACTAGAACCAGTTCCCATAATTGTATGCTTATAACAGGTTAACAAGATTACTTAAAAATCAAAATGTTCTTGTACTTCAGAATAATAATCAAAATTTCAGAATTCGCATAGGTCAAAAATATCTTAATTCACTTTTCACTGAACCCATTGAAAGCGTCATAATTGTCAGGCACAACATATACAGGATATGACGTAAAACCACCTGTTATGTAGAATGGTTTTAGATGTTTTGGTATGTTAAGTCTCATTTTCGAGAACCCGTCAACAAACCGGAAGACAAACAGAATATAGAGATATGGCATCACCAATTAAACCATGGGAAAAACCTGGCGTTAATAGACAGACTGAAGAAAATATACAGTCGACATTTATGTCAGCGTAAGCATTAGACCGGTTTGTAGTGTAAACGGAAGAATCAAGTTTGTTCTTGCCCTTTAATGACACTAACTACATGCGCTACTGTTTTTCTCAAGAAAAAAGAAGTTAATCAGGCACAAAGTCAAAATTTAGCCTAATTAAAAATTACTCATTGTTGTTAAACGGCTATGTTAACAAGTTCCACAGATTTACACATATTTGGCAGTAAATGTTTTGGTCATATGACCCTCATTACTTGTGTTTAGGCCTATCTAATTATGTTTATCTGTTTATAAATACCATTCTAATTTTTGAACTTTATCAAAAGTTCAGTCAAAATTTTTACATTGTAGACACAATTTTTTTTTTAAACTTGATTGGCATCAGTGACAATCTTTGAACATGTTCTAACTCTACAGTTATATAAAAAAAACTGGATTATTTTGCTGCTTCCAGAGATTTTTTGTAATTTGGGGTGGGGGAGGCTATATTGGATGCATGATACACTTACGAACTTTCGCTATATGCATTTGCAGTATTTCGATAGAGCGGAAGTCAGTGCGCGAGCATGCGCTTTGCCATATCTCGTTCAGTTACCGCTCACGTTTTTAACTCTGTTGCTATGAAGCGACACTAAGTGTACATGGCTTTTACAACTAAAATAGCAGACAAACACATTAAAACAATACACATAAACTACACATAGTTGTTTTCCATATTAATATTTTGCATTTGAAACTAAATATCTCAATATTCTTACCGATTTAATGTATTGTTTACATGTGATGACAGCAACGCTGTGTGTTAGATTACTTTCGGTTCAGAAAATTCATTTGTTTACCATCAAAACTCATATGTTTACCATAGGAACCATATATAGATAGAAAGCAAATTATACAAAGGTAAAGAAAAAATTGTCCGTTTCTGAACAAAAAATCGAATAAATAAATACAAAGTCTTTTAAAAAGGTCCCTTCTTTGAGTTCATTTAAAAGAGGAATAATTTGGTGGAATTTTAGACAGGGAAACAGGGAGTTTTCATTCATGGTTAGGGAATATGGCCGACTGAAATCATGCAAGCAAGTTTGTAAGTGTGATAATGGGGTTTTAATTGCTGCCTGGTGATGGGTGAAAATTCTCTGTTTTTAAAATGCTTTTCTAGGAGGAAAATCTTGAAAGTTTCCATGAGGATAGCTAGGAGACATGATATCTTACATGTAGCCTATTCTAGTTGTACTTGTAGTCTACCAAATATGTTCAAAATATGCTCAAACATTGTTTGAAGTCTTTCTCATATCCACTGATTCAGTAAATGTATTCAAAATATTGTTCTAAACATTTCATGAACTGAATGATTAATCAGTTAGGGCAAAGATTTAGACATCAAATGATCAATCATACAAAGTTAATAGGGAACATGTTTTAAATTTTATTCAATGGAACTTCACAGTCAGTAACTACCAAGGACAGCCATTTGAAGAAAATCAATTCATTTTATCAAAGAAAATAACTTTAAAAAAAGGATCTTTATTGAAGCTTTTTTAGTATTTTTGTTATATGCTTTGTCCAAAATTTCATACGGGTTGGCCACCCTGTACCATCATACAAAAAATTTGAAATAACATTATTTTTACATTAAAATGTATATCTTTACTTTTAAGATTCCCACCTACAACAGGATTAGGATCATCAATGTCATCAGGTGCTCCCACTATAGGAGGTGGAGATGCCCCACCTGTACCAAGTAGACCCTCTACAATGGGAGGATACTCTGGGTATAGTCAAGGAGGATATGGTGGTTACAGCAGTCCATATAGTTCAGGCATGTACAGTAGCCCATACAGTAGTATGTATGGTGGAGGATATGGTTCAGGAGGAATGTATGGTGGATACTCTGGCTATGGTGGAATGGGATATAATAGATTTGGATATGGACAGAATATGAACGAGTATAATTCCTTTTCGCGCATGGCTGAGGAAAGTTCAAGACCAGCTTTTCAGTCTATAGAAAGTATAGTTGGTGCATTTTCATCTGTCAGTATGATGCTAGACTCAACTTTTCAGGCTGTCTATAATTCATTCAGAGCTGTGATAGGAGTAGCAGACAATTTCAGTAGAATGAGAGTGCAGTTTGCTCAAGTATTTTCAGCCTTTGCTGTATTCAGAACACTAAGATATTTATACAGGAAATTACTGGTGTTATTAAGACTAAGACCTCAGGGTTTTGCTGAAGAAGTTTGGGTAGAAGCATTAGATACAGTTGCACAAAATACTGCTGCCAAAGCCCCTGGTGGGGGCAAGAGTAGCTGGCCTGTGCTAATGTTCTTTGCAATCATTCTAGGCGGACCTTGGCTCATATGGAAATTTCTGAAATCAACATTTGCTAATCCAGGTAAGATATTCCCCTTGCAACTAATAAAATCAAATGAAATACAGATCTTGTAACCCTTAAAAAAAACTTTATTTGTTAGTCATATACTGGTATGCAATCAAATACATTTTGGATTTTAATTTTTTCATTTACTGGTATTTCAGTATCTTATTGAAGTAGCAAAAATAACAAAATTATTAATACTAAATGGTAGTATTTTAAGGCCTTATTAATATATGTATTTATTGTTGCATGAAAGTTTCTAAGGTTTTTGAGAAAATATAAATGTAAATAAAATTTCACACTTTGAAAAAGGACTTATGTCATGAAGCTTTATTTTGGTCATGGTTGCAAGTTCATGCATGTATAATTTGATAAGATTATTTTACAGTTGAGCAGGGTTGGGCTACTGGAACAGAAGACCACTTTGTTGCACAAGCATTGTACGATTTCAGAGGGGAAGGAACGGATGAGTTATCTTTTCAAGCTGGTGCTAATCTACATATAGCTCCAAAAAGTAAGTTTAAACCTATATACATGTATATGCTTTAAATAGAATATACAGACTTGGTAATATATGTATGCATCATGATTCCATAGCATTTGTTACATAAAGTGTTCCTAAAAACTTTGTTGGTCTATACCAAGTATATGGAGAGCTATCCTACCCACCTGATGTTCTTGTCAGCATTTGTGTCCAGATTTCTGAGTAAAGTTTTTCAGCAGTAAATTCTTCACTGTAAATTCTTTATTTCTTAAGGTATCTACTTGACTACTTCAAATAATAACAAATACACTACTCACATCATGTATGATAAGGTTCATAACTCTTGCATCTTTTTTCATAAGATTTCTTCTTATTTTACTTAGATTTTTTTTTTATCATGTTTAATTCTCTCATCAACTTTGTAACTGAAGAGATAGACGTCACAAGGCCCCTTGTGGCTGAGGGTTTGCCTTTACAGGTTGAGGCATCAGAATTGCCGCCTTGTTTAATCCTGACTGATTGTAAGAAACAACTTAGTAAAATGGGTTTTCGAATTATTGAGAGTCTCTTCATCACTTAGCTCCAGCAGGTGAGGTGGTTCTGACCCCTTGTGTTGTTTAAGTTTGTAACGCCCTGACGTTAGTTATTTTCAAAACATTAACTCTGTTTCAGTTGTTGGTGTTGAAAAGGAAATGTGTTATGTACTTACTTTTAAAGAATATTTATATTCATTTCAGATCTTCAGCCTCGCATGAAGGGTTGGTTACTAGGAAGTGTAGATGGTAAAACTGTGGGCCTTATACCTGCCAATTATATCAAAGTGTTGGGTAAAAGACGAGGCACAAAAGTTTCAAATTACCCAGTAAAGAATGAACTTCAAACATTTGATGAACAGAGCAGAGAATTTCCTAACGAAGCTCTTACACAAAGTAGTTCATCTTTTAATACTAGTAGTACTACAGGAAATCAAAATGGACCTTTAGTGCAGTCACAAAGTGCTATAAATTTAGAGAGACAGGCTCAGGCTGGGTTTACTGGTGATATCGGTGTGCCAAATATGGACTCAGTTTTTCAAAATGAATCCAGTCCATTAGACAGTGTGCCAGAATTACCAGCAGATGAACAGAAAGATCCGGGTGACAAACCCTGAAGTTTTTTTACTTATATATATTATGTAATAATGCTAATGCTGCACACTGTGATTCTCTTTGTAACTTGACACTAATGTTACTGGTGTAATTTTGTATGACAAAATTTATTCATATAGGCTGTATCAACCTTAATCATGTTATAATTATTGTGCATAAATCTATACAAATTTCAGTCTTTTCTTGGCATATTGTTACAAAATGTTGAATGATTAAGAATCATTATCAGTTCTGGAATATCAGTGAATTGTGGTATTTCATAGGATGATTGTTAATTGGATTAATAGATCACGTAACATGTAATTTTTATCTTGTAATTTTACCTTTTTATGAGCACAATATAAGTACATTTTTGTACAAGTACATGTATTTTTTATCAAAGACCATAGTCATGTTTAAACTGTATATGAGTCAATTAGGTCATATTTGGTGAATGTGCTTGTTTTATTTAGATTGTTTTATATAGAATTAATAAAAATAAAGATGAAATCTACAAGTTTTTTTTTCTGCTCTTTAAGTGTAAGTTGCAGTAAAAGAAATAATAAATTCTACCATGTAACTTTTAACAAAAGCTTTTATAAAATCAGTGCCTAAATGGCACTAAATATTTTATGTGAAGCATACATCAACATAATGTACATGTAAAATGCAAGCATCTAACTACAGGTTTCAGGCTGCTCAGACTACAAGTAAATTCTTTGTTCCTTGCTACTTTACCTAAATAATTAGTGACAGGACTAGTTAATAACATTATAGAACTTAGACAACATTACTGTATTTCCACAGAATGATCTCCTTTACCAACAGAAGGTTGTTATTTTCTTATGCAAATCATTGCAATTCTATATTAAAATAAAATATTTAGAAAATTTGAAATAGTACGAGTGCAAGGGAAGCAACTTTTGGAAAAAAAGAAAAAATATTTTAGATACTTTTAGACTTAATTCATTGCTGCCATATTTGTACTCAATATTCTCTTGATATTTAATTTGTTATTCAGTTATTGGTAGTTTTTCTTTAACCAAAGTTTTCCTTCAGTTTAACATGATATTAGATGTGTGTGATTCAGTTTAGATATTATCAGTCTGTCAACCATGCAAAAGGCTCAGATTATGTTGTTTTCGTATTTACTCAGCAAATTCCTGCAGTATATTAAAGTATGTGTAGATTGGGAGTTTCCAATTATGTTTAATGGACAAAAGGTAAACTAAGAATGATATAATTCATATAAGAATAAAATATTACACTTGCCCTTTAGCGACTTGCAATTTCATAAAAGTAATAAATTGCCCCTGTATGCTATATAGTTTGCAATTTTGATATTTAGTGATGACAGATCCATACGATTACAAGAAATTGTTTCAGTTTTTTCTTATAAGGCAATCACTTAGTTGACTGCTATTGTGAATGTGATGATGACCTATATAGATAGTGTGACTTTCAATACATTGTTTATATAGTTATACTCCATTTTAATTCTCAGGACTCACTTACTCTTGGCACAACAGACATTGGATTGAAAAGTTAAATTAGTGTCTTGTCCATAAACGACGAATCAATAAATTAGACTATACCTTTTGACCTGAAAATGGTTGTGATAGTTGCACTCATTAGGCTCACCCACAATCTTTCAATGTTCCATCTTCTGATTATAAATGTTTGATAACTATTCACCTTTTTATTGGACATGACACAGGGCCCTAAATTTACATATTATGCACGCCATACAAATGTGGGCATATGTGCTAGATTGTATTAAAATAATTTAATGCATCAAGTTTTGCTCCAGACAAGCATGCTCCCGTTAACTGTTACCTTGACTGCTTGACCCATGCAAATGACACTATCTCATGGTGGTAAACATTTGTATGCATGAAGATAGGCTCTTCAAAAAAGAAAAGATATGGTAATAATGTGACATCATTAAATAGTACTTGGGATGCAATTTATGAAAATCCGAAACAGGATTTTATGAACAATGCTTAGATCTTATCCAGATTTATCTCTTCAACACAAACCAAATTTAGCCAAAATAATCTTGATGTTCATTTTCCAGATTTCTCGATATTTTCCATTCTTTAAATCAAATATCCTACTTTTATATACGCACACATATAATATATGGAAATGCAACTCAAATACCATTCATTCTTTTTGGAGATTATTAAATTCAAGATTGACCATTATAAACAATGTATAGAAACAATCCATAAAACTCACTAAAATCACACCTGCCTCTTATGGCTTTAAGCCATATGGAAGTTTTTTCATGATTTAGCATATTTCTTTTATCTTGAATAACACCGTTGAGTTTTTTTCTCTTTATTTATTTAGAGCTTTACAAACACAAGCATTTATTCTGGAAATTCAAAGTTAACGTCTTTTCCTGTAAGTTTCTTGTACACAGCTGTAAATGTGTCCAACTGAAACAAAAAAAAGAAAGGCATTATAAAAAGTACCTACACAATTAGATTTTTTACTGTCTGTTTCTCATTAACTAGATCATCAATGTGTGCATTATCAGATATGTATGACATCAATTATAAATCAGTCATATGCTTGTCAAGATTATTCATCATATAATGCTGCTTTCACTGAATTAATACTTAGAGGTCAACAGCCCTGTTTCCACTCTTTTATGTCAGTTTGACATAAAATGAAGACGGCACAACAAGACCACTATTGAAATCAAAAGTGATTTGTCTTTACTGCAAATATAGAGCCAGGTCACCATGCACATTCATGCAGTGTAACCAGGCTCAATACTGTTTGGACTTTCAATGGTCTGTTCCAAATTCAAAGCTTGGCCATTATAAGGCTTTTTTTCTTTCTTTTATAGCAGTGGCTGTTTAAAGGCCTCTTCCCCTCTTGAAAATTCTTTAAAATCATGCAGTTTTCCCAAAAAAAAATCTGTTCGTATCGTTTATTCTTACGCTATTACAAAAAATACTTCATATTTTTCCAACTTTGAAAAAAACAAACCAATAAACAAATTCAGCAGGGCTCAATTTAGGAGAGGGTTAATAAATTGAGGTCAGAACAGATCATCAGCATTATTTATCAGTTATATGCTTGTCTATATAATGTTCATCATGTCAATTTTCCCAATATTTCTAGTCCAGATAGTGAAAAATAAGTCACAGTTATGATATTGAAAAGAAAATTTACAGATTATCATACAAATCATCAGCAATGTTTATCAGTTATATGCTTGTCTATATATGTTCATCATGTCAATTTTCCAAATATTTCTACTTACAAAATGGAAAAAGAAAATTTACAGATTATTACTTAATTCACGTCAAAATGATCAGAACAAATCATCAGCAATGTTTATCAGTTATATGCTTGTCTTCAAATGTTCATCAGTTCATTTTGTTATTTCATATTAAGAATATTGTTAGTTCAAAAATATTTTGCTCTACTTGTTATTTGTGATGAAAGCTTGAATTTTATTTTAACCACTCTCCAGTCTTTGAGGAAACCTGGTTATTAGGCACATTTAAGTTCTTTAAAAGGGTTCATAAGTTTTATTTAGAAAAAATAACAAAGGTTCTTCTTGGTGACGCCTATATTAATTATCTAATTCACAAAGTTTTAACCTCCAGTTGGGAAGTAGAAAATGATTATTTAAATGTCTCCAGAATGATTCTATATAGTATTATAACACTACATTTCAGGCTCTGACAGGTTTTGTTGGGCGGATCTGACCTTTGTTAGCAACCAAAACACCCCTTCAATAATTTAAGTTTCTTTTACTGATATCATTTATGTTTAGGATCAGAACAACATATCAGCACTGTTTATCAGTCATATGCTTGTCTTTGTTTGTTCATCATTTCTTAACTTGCATATCCTGTGTAATTACAGTAGAACTTCTCTTTCTATCAGTCAACTTTGATTTTCTTGATATGTCAAAAGTAAAATGAAAGTCCTAATTTCCCCCTTATATGTTCATTATAACCTACTTGCAAGTTGAAATTTTGTGTCGATTTTTTTTTTGATGTATCGGAAGTTTTGCATGGTCCGTAAAGAGTTATATATGTTTTATTTTAATCAATTCTAAAACCTTTGATTAACTCGAAGTCACTTGACACCTTTCATCTTTAGATATATTGTTCACCCCCTATTTACCTTCGCAATGACGATTACCGATTAAACATTTATAACAAGTGTTAATTACACAGCCAAGCATTCAAACGTCCTTTGTATGCATTCCTATGGTCAAAAATAGGTTTAAATGCCTTGGTTGTATTTGAATATAAACAGAGAAAACTTGTTCCGTTTGAATCTTTCAAGACCTGGTGTTAATTATATTAAGTACAAACTGGTTAAAGTATTGCCCTTTCCTTTTGTTATGCCTTTTGTAAAGTCACTTGCTAACTTCTACAGCTTGAAATTTTGTCATTTAATTAAGACCGATACATAAGTCAAGTCCAGATATCTTGAAAGTTTTAATGCAAGTCCCTTCAACTTTGATGTACCCAAGTTCTACTGTGCTTGTTATAATTCTCCAGTAATGCGATACAACAATTGCCCCTTAGAGAATAAGCCTATGGAATAAATGCCAGCAATAACCTTGTGGATTAGGTAAGGGTGCCCAAGTGGTTTAGAAAAGTAGCAACATGATTTACACAAGTAGCCGTGTGGTTTATTAAGTAACATTGTACTTTACCCTTCAACAAAGTAAATATGGGCCCTATTGAGAGTATTTCATAAATCAAAAGTACATGTACTGACAAAACATAGGATGGTTCAAATATTTTTTTAATAAGATTTCATCACAAACTAAAACAAGTAAGCTAAATATTTCTCTTATATTTCAAACACTTCCAGACAGTTTAGTACATATATATATCATAAAAATTTTCCTCTACCTTGTGCTCAATATTTGTTTGTTGTGTTTTCTCTAAATGAACCTTGATGAGTCTTGAGCCATCCAACTTTATTCTGATACGTTTACCAACAATCTCTGATGGAAAGCAAAGGTCATCCAATATACATTCATGTACAGCAGTCAATGTGCGGCTACAAACAAAAAGGTAATTGTTTATAAAATACACGTGTATCTATCAATTAAACAGCAGATGCTTAGTTTCTGCAAAAGTATAAAGATTTAAATATGAAACAATATTAGTTGGGTTATATTTTGCTAGTACAACTTTTTACCCTTTCATGAATGAAGCATTTAAGTAACAGGAGCTGCAGGTAGAACACCATGATCAGTTATTCTGAGTGCTTGATAGTAAAACAAGAGCCTGGATATTTTAGAATTTTCCAAGTTAACAAAGGGCCTTAATTCTTTCAAAATCCATGTTAGCTTATTGACCTTAAAAAGTGTCCTCCTGTTGTGCTCTCAAATAAGTGTGTAATGTTTCAATCCATTCCCTGCAGTAGATTTGGAGATACCAACCTACACTCAAAAACTTGCTGTTGCAGACTTCTGGGCAAGTACAATAGCTCCCCTATTAATAAATTCTAAGCTCAAGAGGGTCAAAAATCTTAAAATAAGTCTGCCAAAGTTATGCAACTTGTTATATTGATGCTGCAGATAAGGAACAACTCTTCTATGTTTAACATTAACCTCTTTAGGAGTACAGAAAATAACTTGCATGTTATTGTCATCACATATTAACTATTTGTTAATTGAATTGAAGAACTAAAGAAAACAAAGAAAAACAAAAAGAAAACACTAAAGGATGTCCTTATTGTGGGGATATGAGGAAATCACCTTACCTCCTGGGTCTCTTTTGCTTTTGCTTATTCTTGGTTTTTCTGGTTGGTTTTGGCAGTATACGCCTCTATAATAATAAGAAACAAATCATATTTTAAGCAAAATTGATTGAGCCAAAATGCAAATCTGAGTTTGTACAAATCAATCAATAAATTTGGTACCCATTCAAGCAAAAATGTTACAAAGCAATACAAAAATCGTAACTGTAAATTTACATCTTTGCATCTTTACAGGCTTCGCGAAAGTTGCCGGACCGTCGGACATGTCCGGCAAAAATCAGGCCGGTCCGATATTTTTTTCGGAGTTCCGGACCTTATGTCCGGTACGAATACCGGGATATATCCAAGACCGATCAATACCGAGTTTTCTCCCTTGAATAAAAAAATGTAAACAGAGTTTTGATTCGCCGTTTCATTATAAGTGTCCAATCAAATTCTAGATACATACGACTGTCAATAACCAAAATGGCGGTGTTACTACATTATTACGCTGGCGCTACGCCCGGCAAAAATCGTAAACTAACAAATGAAGAAAAAAAAGCGAAACAAAAGGAATACGAGTCCAGGCGCCCGCTGAGAATTTGTGGGTAAATGGAAAAATGGCCGCTTTGATCATGAATGTTTTGATTTCCAGACAGAGTCCATTAATCTGGATAAACTAATGTTTTATTTAAGGGAATAAAATTGTGTTGCAAATCTTTAAAAGTTGTTATGTCTTTAAAAAAACACAAAGGTATTACCATATACATATATTTGGAAAAAAAATTCGGTCAGACAAAAGTTCTTTCGGTCAGACAAGAATTGAAAGTTTGTCTGACCGAATGTCAGGCAAATTTTTCAGCAGTTTCGCGAAGCCTGTCTTTATGCTATTAAAATTCTTTGACAGAGTGCAAAGGAAGCAGCTATTACTGCTAAAATTGTTTGCATATACATAAGTGCAACATTGTTTGCGTATATAGAAGTGTAACAGTTCAAGGTCAAACTGGTACTCCTTAATATTCATTTATTGCCAGAATAAATACAATAAATAAACCTTAACTCAAGTCAACATACTCATTATTTTGTAAGACATTTTAAGTTCTCTATTCTTCTAGCTCAGATATTGTCAGTTACTTGTTTCTTTTAGCCTGTTGCTTTTTTTTACATCTAAACCAAGAAAAACTATCATGAAGTATTGTTTTTAAAAAATACCACATGCTTTATCATCAATATAAACCTTCATATATATCTAAGAATACTTTCTATCAATGAAAATGCTATAGATAAACTTTTTTAAATAACAATTATTTCTATAACATTTATGATATAAATTTCTGAAGAAAATTTGTTGCAATATTCCAGTTATACTTGCAACCTTTTTTGTTCAAATTATATTTTCTGATCATATCTTGGCCCCCATAAAAAGGGGATAAAAGATTTTCTAACATATATGCATCTCCTGTTTGCATATTTTCACAATGTTTTCAATAATAGTTGCAACTTACAAACCTGTGCAATGAAAACTACATGTTTTCCACTGAACTTCTTTTCAAGTTCTCTCACCAGACGGGTCTGGATTTTTTGGTAGCTTTTCAACTGTGGTACAGGCACAAAGATAATTATGGCCTTCTTGCCAGCAACATCGATCTCCTGTAAAAAATCAATATGTTGTGAACTGTGAAATTTATAGGCATAAGTCTGCACATCTTCATGACATGAAAAAAGGAACATGAAACTGTCTTTTCTTGAAAACAAGTCATTTGAAACAATATAATTAGATAGATTTACAAAAGTTATTAAAAATCAAGTTTTTTAAATAGTAAAATGATAACACTACACTTTTAACTTATTCATAGAAATCTTTTATGCAACGTAATACTTTATTGATTTATTTCTACAAATATAATATATTAACCTTTGCTGCTGTAATGTAAAGTTCTCTCAACTGGGCTTTGAGATCACTGTTCATCTCCAGCTCTAGGAGAGCCTGCAACAGAAATAAATAAATCGCTATAAAATCATGACATAGGGTTTAGAACATTCTGTAAATAAAGAAAATCCAAGAACTGTTCAAATATCTCACACTTCATCTTAATGATGCCAACTTAAAAATTGCACTTGATCAGTAATAATAAGCAGATGCAGTGGGTTTTCCCCACTTCTTTTGGAATGGTGCAAGTACTGACCAAATTGGCCAAAATGTGTTATTTTGAATTGGGAATTACCTGGGAAATACCTGGGAATTTGTTTTACCCAGAGAAAAATGACAATTAAGCAAAACATACACTTAAAAACCATGTTTTATTAACAACTTTAAGTGATTTAAGCGAGTACAATAAAATGAGTACAAAAATATTTTTAGATCTGAAAGCACAAAATGAGTTAGGTATGAATATTGCTCATGTGGTTGTACTTGTTTTTCTCTTGCAATATGGTCCAACACATCTTAAAATTGGACTTATAAGAAAATAATAAAAATAAACTATGATAGATTCTATTTACCTGAGATATTGAGGACTCGAACTCATCAGGCTTTTCACCCGGAGGTTTTACAATCTTAGCTCTCGCCGAGTACATCTGAAAATAAAAGCAATAATTAATGACTAATTTTGTACTTTTAATAATTCAGGACATTTTCACCCTAGCACCGGGGGTATACAGAAGGCTGCAGTTCCCATTTCCAATCCAAAATTGCCTTTACCCCAAATTCAAAAAAAGATATCGCAACAGTCAAATTTTATGAGAAATAGTGAACTGTTTCGACTTGCTTCTTTCCCAAAATAGCTAGGAAACATCCTGTAATTTAAATCTATTTGCCTTGTATTTTAATGAAATTAATATAAAGTGTACAAAAAATTATATAAATTACATTTGCAAGGATTCCTATTGGATACCTAGGTAAAACAGTGCCAAACCCTGCTACTATAACAAGTCAAGCCAATATGTCGGATATGTTGAACTACTAACACAATTTATAAGAATTTTCAAGACAAGTTTTTAAAACGATAAAAATATTCCTAGATGCATTGAACAGGTCTAGGATTTCATGATATTTACGGACAGTCTGTTCATTTTTGGACAATCCATAATTTTACAGGTTTTTATATCCGTAAATTTACAGACATTAAGTAGGAAAATAGTAAAAGTTGTATCAAAACTGCAGGTTAAAATGAATGAGGTTACATATTATATGATTAAATGTAACAGTATGGTAAGATTCAGAACAAATTGATGACTTTCAATTTTCACTTTTAACAAATATTTCAATATCATCATACAAAGATGAAACGCACACCAAAGCATTTGTAAATACAAACAATCAATAAAACAACTTATCTTAAGCTGCGGATTTTAATGTAATACTAAAAACAGCAAATTTTACATTGAATATCTATAAATTTATGGACAATCCATAAATATCATAAAATCCTAGACCTGTTCAAAAGAATTAATTTGTGATTTTGTTTTTAAAATGCTAGTTTTCTCTTCTATTGAGTCTAACTTCTGTATATATTGTATATTTATAAGCGTGTAAATGTATATTGGTGCAGTGTGACAGATATGCCAAGGCAATACAAAACTAATTTCTGTACATATTAAAAATACATAGGATTAGGTGTAATCGCATATATGCTACTAAGGTTTCTCTAACAAAAATTAAGATTAAATGACTGCAGTTAGTATGAAATTTAATTCGGATCATAAATCAAAACATAATTCAGACGGCAGCATTTCGTTTCATTGAAAGGCTCGTTGAGGATGCATCAACTGGCGGCCAGAGAAGTCAATGCTCACGAAGACAGTGCACGTCCGATAGTAAAAATATATAACCATCATTGTTGAGGATAGGAATTAGTAAAATAAAGTCATTGGTTTGTGTTTCAGGCGGATTTCGAACAAGGTATTAATTGTATGTACCTTCTGTATTGGCGATAACCGGAAAAGGAAGTTCACTTGCAATGAGACTGGAACTCAATATCCTTTGGATAAAAACATTACCGTACTTTTACCGGACAAAATCTAAAACTTCGGCATGATAATTAAAAAGCAGACGTGATAGTTTGTTTGTTTGTTTGTTTGGGGTTTACGTCACACCGACACAGTATAGGTCATTAGCTTTACTGGTTGAGGAAGACCTCAGGTGCCCTTCCGTGCATTATTTCAGGCACGAACGGGCACCTGAGTAGAACCACCGACGTTCCGTAATCTAGCTGGATAGCTTCCTCACATGAAGGAATCCAAAGTCCCTGCCGGGATTCGAACCCACAGCGGTGAGGGACAAGTGGTTTGAAGTCAACGACCTTAACCACTGGGCCACGGACGCCCCTCAGACGTGATAGAAACTGAATATGAAATATTACAAATTAAACCAATACAAGGGAACTCAGATATATTTTTTAAATAATAGGCCAGAAAAAACACTACTATCTAAAAAGATATATTTAGTCATCGAGTTGGTGGTTCTTAGTAAAAACGCTCTAGATACATTGTAAGTTCCGAAGTCATGAAACTACAATATTAAACCTTGGGGGGTAGCGTCTTTCAATATTGAACTCATTCAAGTCCAAATCAAATAAACATAAATGGACTGGTCTAAATAAGTTTAATTCTAATTGCTACCAACCAGAGTGAATATCTAATATGTCAAGTTGTGAAGGGTGCCAGTGTTTTAAACTAGTTTTTAATATAAAAATATAATACTGCCAATAGCATTGTAAAAAATGAATTTAAATGTAAAAATAAATACATAAGGAAACATGCTAATTACGTATTCGCAAAACAAATGGTTCCTTCTGTGAGTTAATGTACTACAAAAAAGGAAAAACGATCACTATTTTAAAAAAATATGGTATAATAAAGAAGCCCAGCTAAGTATCACACCATTGACAGATGTTCCAGCCTGAACAACTACATGTACTACATTGAACGATAGCTTTGGGCGATATTTTGATGATTCAAATTAAGATGCAATTAAGGGAACATTTGCACGTGGATGATGAAGGATCTGTTACATTACATTTACCAAAGTTAAGACTATTTGTACGTCTTGACGCTGCTTACATAGTTTTCCAGTTATTACGAAAAGTATAATCAACACTGGAATATAACAATTGTTTTTTCCCATATTAGAGTACATTTGTAATTTAAATGTTTTTCATGTAATAGTATTGGAAAATGATGAATCAGTGCTAATGCGTGAGCAATGGGAGCAGCAAGATTTCGAAAGAAAACATTATATTCATTGTGACTACACACTGAAAGATCGTATTTGAAAAGTTCATAAAACATTTCAAAATATTTCAATATTTATTGATTAATGATACGGGTCCTCTGATGACGAGTAAAAGGCGGAAAAAAACTGTGTGGTGAAGGGCTTTACTTTGTTATATTTATGTAACTTATTCAAATAACTGTCGATTACAAATTGTAGAAATTTTCTTTCCAACTAAGTAATCACGTAACATAGGGAGTGAAAAGCATCATCTTGTTAGAAATATTTTCTCATTGACAAATTAATATTTTTTTATGATATTTTATATTACTTTTATATCTCTAAAAGGACTTAGCTAATAAGTCGAATTTTCAGGTTAGTTAGTCGAAATTTCGGGTTTGTAAGTCGAAATTTCGGGTTAGTAAGCCGAAATTTCGGGATTGTAAGTCGAAATTTCGTGCTACGGAAGTCGAAATTTCAAGCTAGTTAGTCGAAATTTCGAGTTAATAAGTAGAAATTTCGAGTTAATATGTCGAGATTTTGAGTTAGTAAGTCGAAATTTTGAGTTAAGTAAGTCGAAATTTCGAGTTAGTAACTCAAAATTTCGAGTTAGTAATTCGAAATTTCAAGATATTATATTATCTTTTTTTTTGTTCCTGTCTATCATTTATAATTGGACGATTTTGGAGCTATAACGTAATGAATGCTTTTTTGTATTTTCTGATTGAATATCAGGAAATACAAAGCTGACATTCAATCTCTGACACAAACCTAACAACAAGTAGTTCTCAAAACAGCTTAGAACTAGCGATTTAAAAGAAAGAAATATATTTATATTTTGTTACAAGTATCCAACAAATTACAACGCATTCAAAGTTTAAAAGTAGCATCGGGTTATAGAAATGTCAATAAGTGCACACTCACAAATTATGCGGATGAATATGATTTTAATCAATGAAAATGCTATTTTTAGCGATGTCGATTACCGGATATATATACAACACAAATAAATCTGACTGTCGAGTAGTGGAATATATAGATTCTACATGTCAGACTGTTATGGCGAGAAGATTTTCGCTAACTTATTTACATCAATTTAAAACAACAGGTAAAGTGTCTTTGTGAATGAAGTAGCCACGATATGCAAGGATAAAGTGTGGCTGTCATAAAAAATGAACATAAATGATTTTTTGATGCAACTCTAGTTATGCAAAATTCGGTATGCATCAAACTCTGGTGCCCTGCAAGATGAATTATAGTACATAAAAATAAATTTATACAGGAAAATACATACAGATGTACAGTACGATTTAGATTGCAAAGATCAGAAAATACCACAGAGCGTGCAGCCCTTTGATTTTTTACTGTTTGTACGGTATTAGACGGCATTTATCTTAGACAATACTGTAATCCAGTCTGACATGTTTACCTTCCGGCGAATTTTCACGAAAATAAATCATTTAAACACTTTAATAATCATTTTAGACTTCGAAATGCCTTTTTATGCCGTAAGAATAGGTAGATGTCCAGGAGTTTATAGAACATGGTAAATTTTAATTCTCTTTCATATCGATATAATTTTTTTGGATTTAGCTCAATACAGGATTGGAGCAGTATCTCTAGACGCTTGCAGAAATCATGATCACAAAATAGACAAATATCGTTTTTTTCGCCGAATTTTACATTTTTCCTTGATTATCGTACTTGATTCGGTGTGAAAAGATGAATTAGACCTGTTAAAGTTCATTCCGTTGGGTAAAAAGACAAGATTTTAGCATTTTATCATTCAAGCGCCTTGTCCGGTATATACCGGAATACGGTATTTAGTGTGGTGCTCCAATCCTTTTTTTAGTCACAGCCAATTTTTTTTCCGGTGCAAGTCAAACCGGAAAACAATGTTTGCATTGGACACATCTCTGTTTTTGCACTGATGTTAGAGTGGTCAGAAGGGGAGATAAGTTCTTCTGTCCACATTGTAAAGAGGAGTAAAAACTGTCATAAATGACTTTGTACATAAGTTATACTGTTAATCTGTTTTTGGTTTTTTTTTAAATTAATGTTGGTAAATGTTCTGTAGTGTGGGACATGTCAGTCTCTAACCACCAGAAACATTTTATTTTAAAAAAAGTATTATTCAATTTTCACTGTTTAGGTAGCACATAATTTCATATAAGAAAATCTACTGTTAAATATATGTTGAAACAACAATTTTTAATTAAATGTTCACTTTGGACCAAGTAGTCACCAAAACCAAATATTCAAACTTAGATGTGGCCTAATTGTACTTTTTTTGCAAAGAACTATGGGATTACGTCACATCCGCGGATGGCGGGAAGTGAAACAAAATGGCCGCCTTCCATTGATAAATATAAACAAAAATGACATTGACACTTGTTGAGGATTATTCGTGTGAAATATTTGTGAGGATAAAGAGGAAATAAATTTTTTTAACAGGTAAGTGAGGTATATTTTCTACTTGTTCACCTTTTATTGTTTGTTACGCCGGAGAATCCTTAGCGTCGCGAATTTACGGTAGTCGAGGATACTTCTGCCGAAATAAGTACATTTAGATTTTTTTTTTATTTGTCTTGCAGATTCGATAAAATTAATATAGATCGATCTAATCAAATAATTTGTTTTCCTTAGAGGCATTTTGTTTGTAAAGTAACATTCAAAAAAATATGAAACCAAAATGTGTTAACTTCATATCATAAGCTTCTAATTAATTGCAGGTGGTCACTAATCAAATTGGAATGAATGAGTCAATCATAATTATCACCTAATTAATCGGTATCCTTAACATACACACTGATTGATGATAATGATAGCCCGTAACAATATATATTTCAACACATTGTTTGACACTGAAGGTATTTAAGTCAGAAATACAGTGAGATACGCAATCGGTTATCTTTACTCGCAATTCTACTGATAAGAAATTCGGAAACTGTCAATAGGTGTATTATAAATAATTACAATAATTACAATAAATAGTGATAACACAAACCTAAATATTAATAATTGAAAAGTGGGCCGAGTTGACCCGTGCCGAGTTGGAATAGGGCCGAGCTGACTCGGGGGGCCGAGTACGTTTTAGGGCCGAGCTGACACGGCTTCAGTCAAACCCACAGGCACGAGTATCGGACCTGGGAAGAAAAAATATGACCAGATAGATAATAAAACCTGTGTTCATCTTAAAAGTGTCAAAAACAAACAAAAAATGTAAATAATAACCCCCTTTCAGGGTTGTCATTAAGAGGCGGCAGGAGGCCAAAATGCCTGTCTCAAATGCATTATGGGCCGCCTCAAAATTAAGAAAACACTCTTTGTTATGTTTGATAAAGACAGAAATGACCGCCTCAAGTTCAAAACAAACCTTCTGCAAAAAATGTTAATGACAACCCTGCCTTTAAAAATATACTATAAGTTAAGAGAAGGCCGGAAACTCCAATTCGAGCCTACGAGCAAGGGATTCATTTCCCGGGCCGTTGTGAAAACAATTGGCCAGACAATTAAAAAAAACTTTTATCACTATTTCACGTTTGTATGAAGCTTCAAAATGAGACCAACCCCAAGTCTCTAGCCCTACCCGTTCATGAAATATCTCTCAGGAAACGAGCGAATTCGTGCTAAAAATCGAACAGGAAAAAAGGTTCAACTGGTCATTTACTTTTATAAACATTTTCTAACATAAAGGACTAACGTTTTGCAGATCTACTGTTTCTAGGCATGCATAAATAATGTCGAAATTGGAGAAAAATGCGTTGGTCTCGCGATTCAAATTTTGAAACTGTCAAATCCGCATATTTATGAGACAATATAACGATAAATCTGGGGTGCAGAGTCTGAAGAAATATATGACTAGATACCGGATTCTGTTCCTTACAAGCAAAGCACAAACCATCTTTAAGAAACTAAACTACTTGTAGTATGGACCGGAATAAAAATCACCTACCTGTCCTCCCAACAAATAATCCTCCATCTTTAAAATTCTATACTGTAACCGAAAAAGGCGATACTGTAACACGTTCCCTACGGTGTGAGAAGCTGTGTTGCTTACATGAACCAGGTCTCTAGGTCAAAGGTCAAGGTCACACTTTGAAGTCATTGAAAATGCTTGTCGCAAAACTTCAACATACATAGGGGGATTTCAATATAATTTGGCACAAACGTTCACCATTGTGAAGCAGAATGTCGCATGCAAAATTTAGGTCCTTGCAGCCAAGGTCAAGGTCACACATAGGGGTCTAAGTTCAGATAAAAATATGAAAATGTGAATATTCGGACCATTTAGTCATCATTTATTGAGGGATTGAAACACAAATGGTCATTATCATGACTACAGGAGTGTAACTTATAATTTAGGTTAATATATGCAAGGTCAAGGTCATTAAAGATGATAAAATGTAGAGATTTTGTCCAGAGTATATCTCCTACATGTATGGCGGGATTCTAATGAAATTCATAGAAATGTTCACTACTATAAGAAGCAGTGTCATGTGCATGAACTACTTCAACCAGGTCTCTAGGTTAAAGGTTAAGGTCACACTTAGAGGTTATTGAAAAATGCTTGCTTGGAGCAAAACTTCTACATTCATCTGGGGATTTTAATTGAACTTAGCACAAATGTTCACTGTTTTGAGGCTAAATATTGCGTGCATAATTCAGGTCCCTGCTATTAAAGTCAAGGTCACAAAGAGATGTCAAAGTTAAGATAAAACAGAAGATGTGTACAGGGACCATTTAGTCATTATTTATTGATGTACATTGTATTTTAACACAAATGATAACTGTGACACATGTTATTTAGGTTAATATTTGCAAGGTCAAGGTCACTAGAGATGATAAAATATCCAGATATTGTGTAACGTTTCGACATTTTTACTTAGCTTTGTTTTGATTAAAGATTATCATTTACTCAAATGATATAAGTGTTACTTAACTATTATGTTATTTGTTTATATAGCGACAATGTATTTTAATTTACGTTACTTTACAATATACGTTTGGTATATGTATTTTCAATAAACGTTTGATATCATATAATATAATAATCGTCTCAGTGATAGTGATCATTCTAATCAGCCAATGAAAATAAGTCATGCTTGAGCGATCATCTCAGCAGGTATAAATACGGCGGCAGAGCCAAAATTATTCAGTCTGCAGAGGAATTCACCGGGACCAGGTTACTTTATGTAATTGAAGCCTCGCTTCATACATAGAAGATAATTTCGTCTACCTAACTGAAGCGTAGCTTCATAGGTAGAAAAGAAGAATTGGCCAAAACTAAATACCCTTGTTTATCCAATTGAAGCCTAGCTTCATGGATATAGTGTCGTTCTAGTTTAGTTGTGAAATTGTATTTGACTCTGGGTACTTATAGATTTCCATATTTTCTGAAAGCCTCGCTATCAGGAAATTGGTAACATATAGGTATTAAAAAATCCAGAGGTATACTAATAACAAATAAGTTTGTATAGATAAAATAGTTGGAACTTTGTTGTAAATCCCTGCCAGCAGCTTATCTTTCTATCTAAATAGAAGCCTCGCTTCATAGATAGGGAGGTAGTTGCTGGACTATAGGAAATTATCGGGTTGCAGCGTGATATCTATAGCTTTTGAATTATTTCATAGTGTTATATTGTAAACATATTTACTGTATTGTGACTTTTGATAATTTAATAGTGTATTTTGGAGTATTAATTCAAGCTGATTGTTTATGATATATGATAATTTTATAATCATTTGTATCTGATCAAACGGCAGGTAGCCCAAAGAAAAATTTATTATATATTCGTTGTACATCCGCTCGGTACACGTTACAAAAAATTGGTGGCAGCGGTGGGATCATATAGATAAAAACACCATTATCTAGCCACACATATTAAAATAGATATTTGTAAAAATGGCTGAGAGTAAAGATTTTAGTAATAGCAATGAGCTTATTTTGTTACACGAAAAACTCAGAGATTTGCAGCACCAAAATGAAGCTTTGAAATTGCAAAATGAAATATCAATACTTGAAAGACAGATTGACAGTATGCAGTTATCTTTTCAAAATCAATATGACTCAAACTATGAAGACAAACAAACGTCAACACCGAAATGTTTAACAAGACAATATGCAACACCTCTATCAGAAAGAAGGCGACGTTTATTACCACCGACCCCAGATAAAAAGCCCTTTAAGATAGAAAGTGTCTTAACCCCATTAGCTGAAAAACAAAGGTTTACGGAATCTCCTTGTGGCTCTGATTTAAATTATCCGAGAGATCGATTTGTTACCTTTCGAAAGAGAAAATCAAAACCAGCAAATAAAACAGAGTCCTTACACAGCAACATACAAATGGATACTTCAAATTCAACAGAAATAAAACGTGACCCTAAAAACTCAAATTCAAAACGAAGTGTTATGATGAAGCCAGCTACGTATGATGGAACTAGCTCATGGATAGATTATAAAGCGCATTTTGAAGCATGTTCAGAAATAAATCAATGGACAAACAAAGAAAAGGGTCTTTATTTATCTGTTTCATTAAGAGGTCAAGCTCAAGGTGTATTTGGCAATCTGACAAGCAAATCACCAAATTATGATGAACTTGTATTAGCTTTAGAAGAAAGGTTTTCACCACCCAATCAAACCGAATTATATAGAACACAGCTACGAGAAAGAAGACAAAAAGCTTCAGAATCTTTGTCTGATATGAGACAGGACATAAGACGTTTGACTAATTTAGCATACCCTTCAGCACCATCAAATGTGAAAGAAACTTTAGCGAAAGAACAATTCATAGATTCTTTAGTTAACTCGGATATGAGGCTTAGAAATAAACAAGCTCGTCCTACAAGCTTGAATGAAGCAGTACGACACGCTGTTGAGCTTGAGGCTTTTAACAGAGCAGAACGAAAATCCCATGAAAACCATGGTTATATGAGAAAATTAAATTCTGGCGAATATGATAGTCCGAAAAATCAAGATGACAAGTTAGATAGCCTGACAAAATTAGTAGAGGAAATTAAGAATATGTTATCAATGTTTAGACGCCAAAATAACTATCAAACTGTTGATAAAAGAAACCGAAATACTTCAAAGCAAAATCAAAATAATAGAACGTCTTCAAGAACATTTGCTAATGGGCCAAATACAAATAGTTTGCATTGTAATGAGTGTGGTCAGAAAGGTCATAATAAATACAATTGTCGAAAGTTCAGTGGCAGATCGAAACGAAAAATTTATGTGTTGGAGAAAGATTGTGAAAACTCGTCTAATTCGTGTGGTTCAGGGTTATTTGTTGAAGCTACAATAAATGGGATCAAAGCTAATTGTTTAATTGATACTGGTGCACTTTCAATGATTTCCTCAAGTTTTATAGAATAGATAGATGTCAGTTTCCAGTAAATTTAGAACCGTTTGATGCAAACATTGTAAATGCATCTGGAAAACCTTTAGAAATAAAAGGAAGAACACATTTAGATGTTCAATTGAATGATGAAATTTCGACAAATCCTTTTATAGTTTCTGACATAGAGGGAGATGCAATATTAGGATTAGATTTTATGACAGCAAGAAATATTGTAATAGATGTTTCGAATAATCAGTTAACAGCCAATGGTAAAAAGATGAAAATGAATTGTAGAGGTCCGATAGGTTGTGATCGTGTGATTTGTCATTTTTGTGGAATGAAATTTAAAAAGAAAGCTTATATAAGACAACACTGTAGAAGAATACATAAAGTTAGGGAACCTAAAGATTCAGGACATTCGGAGTGTGCATGCCAAATCTAGTTGTTAGTGGCAGTTAAAAAAAAAAAATGTAAGTTCATGCGAGGCGCATGTAAAACGGAGGCGTGGGTAGTGTAACGTTTCGACATTTTTACTTAGCTCTGTTTTGATTAAAGATTATCATTTACTCAAATGATATAAGTGTTACTTAACTATTATGTTATTTGTTTATATAGCGACAATGTATTTTAATTTACGTTACTTTACAATATACGTTTGGTATACGTATTTTCAATAAACGTTTCAGGGCTCATCCGGAAGGGCGATTCAGGCGAAAACTTCGCCGTGTATATTCCAATTTCGCTCTTCCGATTGATCAAAGAGAAGTCAACATCGCCGATAAAATCTTAATTCCCAAATAGTAATTACTTAGCGATGTAAAGAGCAGAGATTGTATCCGCCCATATGACGACCGCTAATTATCATTATCCAATCAGAGCGTCGCTTTATACTACCCTTCTACCTGTAAGCGAAGCGATAGACCGCCTACTCTAAACAGTAAATAATGAGAGCATCGGCCCGAAACGGTATAATTGTGTGATAGTTTTTCGAGTTTAATACGGGATTTGGCGATAATTATAAATTGTTTTTTCCCCGATTATCTAAACAAGTACAATCTTCCCTAATTGATGTACACGATGCACTTCGATGGTGGGTTTTTAACCCGAGTAAAGGCGATGTGCAATGGATTTTTCACGGCTATCACAGAACTGTTAGTCAATTAAAAATAATCAATTTCATTAATGATCAGCAACCAGATTAAAAACTTAATCATAGTTTTAAATGATTTCAGTCTGTTAACATCAATTTTTACTGTAAAATTGTTATGTCGCTCACGTCATGGCTACAAGGCGAAATGCCGTAACCGAGCAGTAAGAAAGTTACTGATTCTGATATGCGAAAATTTAAGAAAGCCAATTCGCAAAAATCTTGCGATTGGTATGTTGTAGACAGTAGGGGTGTTTGGCATTGTTCTCTTTGTAGAAATGCCAAATTTGACACAGTTTACGCACGTGGGCAAGACATCCCGGCTTAACTACATATCGGTCGTATATCATGTAACGTGTATATAACAACAACATTTGTCTGGAAAGAAGTGTTCTTATTGTTTCAAAATAAATTCGTAAATATGACGCTCAGATTAAGATTTATCAATATTGTAAATTTTGAAAAGCATTATTTATAAAGATATTACCGAATTTAACATTTCATGAAAATAAAGGGAGGTAATTAGAAATTAATTTTCTACAATTTCTCAGTCAAATTTTTCAATAAGAAATGAATGTATGTAATTTTAGTGATCAAATATAATGTGCACAAATGTTTGCAGTACATATTTTACATATTCTTTGATGTTTGAAAATTGTTTTATAAGCATAATTATATGCATATAAATGTGACATTACAACGTTCAGGACTTTGAGAGAAATTTCTGTTACCAGAACAGAATAGAACAGATATTATTAATCAATATCCAATGTGACTTCATCTTTTCTTTTAAAGGTGAGGAAAGTAAAGTATAAAATATGAAATTGATTTTATCATCATCCTTTCTTACACATTATTATCAACAAATGTACATGAAAATATATAAACACATATTTAGAGAAAGCTTAGATGCAATTGCCTGATCTACTACTAAATAATTAATCTACTTTAAATTAATACTACTATTAATAAATAAACTGGAGAAATATTATAAGTGATGTTAATTGTGTTTATATTATAATTAAAGGATGTATAGCCATGCATGTTAATGCATACACATTGGGTTGTTTCCCTTCTCCCTAATTTTCGCGAGGTCGTCACTTCTCCCTAAAAGTTCCCCCCAGGATGAGCCCTGCGTTTGATATCATATAATATAATAATCGTCTCAGTGATAGTGATCATTCTAATCAGCCAATGAAAATAAGTCATGCTTGAGCGATCATCTCAGCAGGTATAAATACGGCGGCAGAGCCAAAATTATTCAGTCTGCAGAGGAATTCACCGGGACCAGGTTACTTTATGTAATTGAAGCCTCGCTTCATACATAGAAGATAATTTCGTCTACCTAACTGAAGCGTAGCTTCATAGGTAGAAAAGAAGAATTGGCCAAAACTAAATACCCTTGTTTATCCAATTGAAGCCTAGCTTCATGGATATAGTGTCGTTCTAGTTTAGTTGTGAAATTGTATTTGACTCTGGGTACTTATAGATTTCCATATTTTCTGAAAGCCTCGCTATCAGGAAATTGGTAACATATAGGTATTAAAAATCCAGAGGTATACTAATAACAAATAAGTTTGTATAGATAAAATAGTTGGAACTTTGTTGTAAATCCCTGCCAGCAGCTTATCTTTCTATCTAAATAGAAGCCTCGCTTCATAGATAGGGAGGTAGTTGCTGGACTATAGGAAATTATCGGGTTGCAGCGTGATATCTATAGCTTTTGAATTATTTCAGTGTTATATTGTAAACATATTTACTGTATTGTGACTTTTGATAATTTAATAGTGTATTTTGGAGTATTAATTCAAGCTGATTGTTTATGATATATGATAATTTCATAATCATTTGTATCTGATCAAACGGCAGGTAGCCCAAAGAAAAATTTATTATATATTCGTTGTACATCCGCTCGGTACACGTTACAATTGTCCGGATATTGCCCAGAGCATATCCCTTATATATCTATCTATAATGCCCACATCTCTGTCAAAAGCTTTTGTGATGGACGTATTTTGAGACAATGTTACCCTTGTTTAAAATTGATATCAAATGAGGTTTTGACAAGATGAAGATGCAGAATAGTTAGATTTTTACTTTTATATATTGTAGGGATGAATGTAAAGTGCAGGTAGATAAATTTACAAAGCCAAGGTTTAAAAAATTTAACACAGAAGAAGAGGCTCGAGCTTTTGTGAAAGGATCGGATCATCCTACCAACATTCCAGGTAGGGAAATGGACAAAAGCCCTCCAGGACAAAAGCCCTCCCGTTCAAAAGTGACAGGGCAGTCAAAAGCCCTCCCGTGAAAATGACAAGGCAGACAAAAGCCCTCCCGTGAAAATGACAGGGCGGACAAAAGCCCTCCTGTGAAAATGACTGGGCGGACAAAAGCCCTCCCGTGAAATTAACAAGGCGGACAAAAGCCCTCGCGTAACAAAATATATATGTATGTTACATACCTGTTTTTTTTTAAATGCACTTAACATATTAAATTTAAAACATATATATTTGTTGTTGTTTTCTATTGGTCTAAGTATTTTTATGAGCTAGAACCACCTTTCATCCAGAATATACCTTTCAGAAATGTTTAACGAGGTAACATTTTTACACGAATGTCGATCGTTTAAAACAAAGTCACTTTTAAAAGTAATTGACTCATTACAAGGCACATTATAAATGTCTTGGACTTTTAATTTTAGTTAATTTAAACTTCTTTTCATCATTTATTACTCTATTAATCTTAACTTCACATGGGAGTAATCCTTTCATATTTACGTGAATAAATATGCACTTACAGATTTTAGCACTTATTATTCAGATGCCTGTCAGGAATGTGCTCAAGCTCATACAAACACGCTTATGCCAATGGAAAACAAAAATATTCATGATTACAATTTTAATATGTTGAGTGCATTGAAATGAACAAACTATTCAATGTACATAAATGTATTTGCTGCGGGAGGGCTTTTGTCCGCCCTGTTATTTTCACGGGAGGGCTTCTGTCCGCCAAGTCATTTTTACCAGAGGGCTTTTGTCCGCCCTGTCATTTTTACGGGAGGGCTTTTGTCCGCCTTGTCAATTTCACGGGAGGGCTTCTGTCCGCCTTGTCATTTTTGGACGGGAGGGCTTTTGTCAGGGAGGGCTTTTGTCCTACACTCTTACAGGTATACCATTTCTATTTTTTAGCTCATCTCACTTTGTGCTTTGAGATGAGCTTTTATTATGGCACACATAAATCAGGGCCCTACATCAAAGGTCAAGGTCACACTTATATTATGAATTTTCTCATAGAAGTGCTTTGATGGTAATGTCCGGTCAACAATTCTGTCATTCCTGGATGGATTTCAAAATAATTTGCCATTAATATGTAGACATGATGATTATGTGTCAAAGAAAAATCAATGTGGAACTTGTATGTTAGACGTGATGATTGTGAATAGATTGGATGGACTGCATAAATATGCTGCTTATTACATGTATATACTCAGGGCAAAAGTATGAAAAATGAAATCACCAAAAATCTGATTAACTTTATTGTTATATTACAGAATAGTGAGAATAATGTGGACATTTTAAGCAGAATGTACTGTTAGTTAACTTGTATGCAAAACAACAACAACAACAAAAAACAACATAATAAATAATAGTCTTTGGTTTTGTTGAATATATGTTTATATTTTCAGGCTCCTTTAAATCATCACCTGCAAAAAGCTTCAGTAGTGGTTTTCCAAAAAGTCCAAAGGCTTCAAGCAGCAAAGATTTATCAACAGATGTTAAGCTTAAGATTGCTGAGAAAGAAATACAGTATTTGAAAGAGAAATTGAAACAGAAAGTGTGTGAAAAGAAATTGTTGGAAACTAAAGCAGAAATAGACCAGCTAAAAGGTCAAGGTCAGTACTTTATAATGATATTTTAATATTCAGTGATTTTTTAGGACAATTCCTCGTGTAAAATTTTTACTTTTCCCAATTTAAAGAACAATTTTCCCACTCAAAGTTTTATAAATTAACAAAAATCCTTAAAAGGTTATGGTGTGATTTAAACTGAGGAAAGCTGATTTTGATTTTTTCTCCAAATTGCTGATAACAACACATTTTTCCACACCTGACTCACCACCTTTCCCCAAAATGTTGAAAATATACTAAGTGTTAGATGTCAAATGATACAGGTATTTTTTACTTATAGCAGCTTATTTCTTTGTAGCATTTGATTTCACACTGTAGTAAGATTTATTTAACAGAAATCCAGTTACCAGAAGGAATCACAGATACTTAAACATGACAGGACTGTGGTTTAAATCATCTGAAATTGTATTGTATAAGTACATAATGTGAAGTAGCAGAAAATTGAATTCTAAAACCCTGAATTGTATAACAACTTGACCATTGAACCCTCTCTTAATGATCTGTGAAATATTTTATATTTTGTTGACAGGGTCTTACCAAGGGAAGGTTTCACATTCAAGAAAAACATTTCATAACTCAAAGCCATATCAGCCTTCGACACCAACTAATAGCTCCAACTGGAAACAGAACAGAAGAACACAACTTATAGATATAAATGAAGCCAGACAATTACATACAGATGCTTGCTCTGATGGTGATTTTATTACAACATGTATATTTTAAGTTTAAAATTTGGATGTCTTATTTACTATGAAATGTTAAGGTTATGGACTTTGATTCTTTTGTGAAACAAGATTTATACTTGTAAGTTTACAGATGTAGATTATTTTGTGAAACAAAATTATTCTTACCTTCAAGTTTGTGGTTTACAATACTAAGTATTGATGTTGGGTGCACTTGCCCTCTACTGCAGTAGTGATTTGTAAACGACAATACATAATGTGTCCCTTACTGCTGTCTCTACTACTGATTTTTATGGAGATACAGAGAAGGTGACAATTAACTGTAAATCAAAGTGGACAGTACTTGTATAGTGCCATGCATATAGTTTATAAAGAGATCATGACTATCCAATGAAAGGTGACGTTACAAATATCATTATATATTTCAGGCGTAGCAATCAATGATAGAACACCTGTAGTATACACAGATGGTGCTTGTACAAACAATGGTCGTGGTGCAGCTAAAGCTGGTATAGGTGTATACTGGGGTCCTAACCATCCATTGTGAGTCATAATCTGTATCTTGATTTCTAGCTGATAACTGTTGTTTATACTAACTGTTGGCTGCTCAGTTTTAGTGTTTGTCCTATTCCTGTTTGTTGCCACAGAGGATGCCTATTTAGTGGTCATATGTGGCTGAAATATTGTGGGGACTGTATTCTGGTGAATGTTTCTCTTCCTTGTTTATGTTTGTTCTCATATTTGCTATTAAATCCCTTAAACCAACAATCACTGACCATTC